TGAGAGAGAGAAAGGAGAGGGGGACTGTGGTCTGAACCCCCTCACCCAGCAAGGAGGAGTCCCCCAGACACCCCACTAAGCCAAAGAAGCTGCCTCAGGATACACGGGATGTGACTCCGTGTAAGTGGAATTTTAAAGGCACCAACTAGTTTTGTGGAGTTGGAGGTCAGCACAGTGCCTGGGAGGTACGAGCTAAGGGGCAGGATGAGGGAAACTTCTGGAATGCTGGAGTGGTCTATGCCGGAACAATAGTTCCCCACACGTCCTCTCAGGAGCACCGCACGCTACACTTTGGAGTCTCTGCAGTACGCCAAGAAGCAAGCTCTTCGTCACGCGGACCTGAGTCATCTTTCCGTAACTGGTTTCCGGCTCTCTTGCACTGTGTGCAGAAAACCTGCCTTGATTTCAATCCACCGAAGCGTTTTGAAGTCAGGCCCCACAGAGGATCCACTCTGTGTGTCCTCATGTCCTGGGAAAGAAGGTGTATTCTGCAGGTCTTCAGATCTTCAAGCTCCTCTGACAGTTTTTCCTGCTATTCTGTCAACTATTGGAGGGTCAAAATACGCGCCCCCCGCCCAATCTGGAAGGAAATATAAAGGACACAAAATTGGCAAATACAAGCGTGTATGTGCAGGCACACGTGCACACACACTCTTAGAATGATCGACACTGTGTCTCACCATCGTGATTTGCTTTACTAGCTCAAGGTCTTGTTATTAGATGCACACAAATTCATAATTTTTACAACTTCCTGATAAATACTGAACGTTTTTTCCCATTCACAAATTTCCGTCTGTATTTTTATTTCAGTTGATTCATTTATTTTGTGGGACTGAGAATTGAACCCAGGGTCTTGCACATACTAAGCAAGCACTCTGCCTCAGAGCTGCCCCCAGCCTATCCCTCTCTGTCTTGGAAGCTTCTCTATTTGTTATTTATTTTCCTCTTCTAGGTTGGCCCTAGATTCCCCTTGGTTGATGCCTGTGTGGGGCACCTTCTTCTACTACCCTTCTAGAGTGTTCCTTGTTAACAGACTAGGATTTGATTTTCTTTTGTTTTTCATTCTGTCATTTCATTTTGGGGTGAGATAGCATCTTACGATGTCACAGCCAGGACACTGATGTTGACGTGACCTGTGGATCTTGCTTGGGTTTCCGCAGTTTGGGTTGGCCTAGTGTTTCCTGAGTCTATGCAATTGCATCCTCCCCTGGGTGGTTCCTAGATCCACAGCACAGTCTGCATACAGCAGCTTCATACAAGGCCCATAGACACCTCTTAATAACCACTCCTGCTCCCCCTGACTCCTGTCCTTAATCTCAGGCAACCACTAATCTGTTCTCCATCTCCATAATTTTGTCATTTCTGGGATGTTACATAAATGGAATCAAACAGTATGTAACCTGTGGGGATTAGCTTTTTCTCCCACTCAGCAGGACTCTGCAGAGATTCGCCCAGCCTGTCACCAGTATCCACAGCTTATCCCTTTTCATGGCTGAGTAGCTGTCCACACCATTAACAGCAGCCGTTGAGGGACATCTGGGTTACTTCTACTTTGGGGCTATTATGAGTAAAACTGCTAGAAATTGGAATGACACCAGGAAAATCAGCATGGCCCCTGCACACGTGTCAAATTTATTAAGCGTTCTCGATTGTTCTTTCTTTTTTTTGTACAGTGCTGGGGAATGTGAATCAAGTCCTCTGCCACTGAGCTACACTCCCAGGCCCCAGAATTTGTTTTTTATTATTTCTTTTTAGTTATACACACCATTAGGGTTCATTTGACATGATTTTAAAAACATGGAATATAATTTGCTCAAATTCAGTCCCGAGATTCCCCTTCTCTCCCCCAGCCCCCAAAATTAAAAAAAAAAAAAAAAAATTGCTATCAACATTCATGTGCAAGTTTTTCGTGTGTGAACCTAAGTTTCCATTTCTTTGGAATAAATATCCAGGAGTGCAAAATTTGCTGGGTAGAATGGTGGTCTGCCTAACTGTCTTCCAGAGCAAAGGTACCGATTTACATTCCCACCAGCAACCGAAGAGCAGCCAGCTTCCAGGAACTCTCCCCAGCCAGCCAGTGATTTTTCCAGCAGCTCTGATAGGTGTGGGGAGGTCTCGGTGGTTTTAATTTGCATTTCCTGTCCGGCTGAGGTTGAACACCTCTTCCCGTGCTTACTACCCCCTGTGGACTGTCGTTGGAGAAATATGTTCAGATAGAAATGTCTGAGGGCTCAGTACTGTGGGGTCTTAAGAGGGGTCTCCCCACTGAGAGGGCCTCCCCTCACCCACAGGGGTTGCCTAAAAGCCCAGAGTGCCAAACCCTCTGTCTCTGTGTTTTTTCCTATAGATAAAGTCTAATTTACAAATCAGGCACAGTAAGACATTAACAGCCGTAACTAAGATTAGAACCATTATGACAATATACTGTCATCAAAGTTATTTGAAAACTGATGAATTGTATTTCTGGAATTTTCCATTTCATATTTTTAGATCACAAATAACTGACACCAGGAACAGCAACGCGGTTGGAGGCGGGGACTCTTCTGGAGGCCGGGCCTTCACTGGACACAAATATTTCTCCCACTCCCAACTCGTCTTCTCATTCTCTTAACAGGGTGTTTTCCAGAGCAAACTTTTTTGGTTTTTGTAAGGTGCAGTTCATTCGTTTTTCCTTTTATGGGTCACACTTCAGTATCAAGTCAAAGAAATCTTTGCCTGGCTCCAGATCCTGA